GACCACAGTTAAAACATTTAAAAAGAAATGTTAAATGTGCCTGACATTAGAAAATATTTATTATGTAATATAATGTATAGGTTTCCTCAGGATGTGATTTGAGAAAAGTTTTTGTTCAAGTTCAGCTTTTACTAACATAATACTAATTTGAGAAAAATAGTAAATTATGCAAAATGGAAAACATGAAATTCTCTTGCTTCTATTAAGGGGCATTGGCTTCATTTTGGCCCACTGTGAAAATTCACTGAAACTCACTGAATTTCCTTTTGGCATGTTATGTTAACAGTGTTCATCTCAACCAACCCTTGCCTGCCTTCCATGATTTTGTGAGCGAAAATAATGAGCTCAGTATTTTTATTGCCTACTATCAGCTTTTTTTAAAAGAATAATTTATTTTGAAATCAAATACAAGAATAGTACCAATAGCTTGTTTATACCCTTTATCTAGATTCACGAGCTTTGAATAGTTTGCCACATTTGTGTTTTCACTAGTGCTCTGTTTATGTACATATTTTTTCCTGAACCATTTGAGAATAGGGTACATGCATCATGCCCCTTTGCTCCTAAATACTTCAGGATTTATTTCCTTAGGACAGGAATATTCTCTTGAAGCCACAATACTGTTTTCAAATTCAAGAAATTTAATATTGATATACTACTTTCTACTCTTTAAATCTTCCAGCCATATTCAAGTCTTATCAGTTAGCCAATGTGATGAATTTAGCATAAGAACTAAATTTTGTTTTAAAACTTTGTTCTTGCCAGTCTTTCTCCTTCCTGCTTTCTAGATTTTTTTCAGTGATTTCTTTCCTTCTTGCTGTACCTTTATTCTTTATCAGTTTTATTAAGATGTTATTCATATACCATACAATGTACCCATAATTCAGTGGTTTTTAGTATATTCACAGGGCTGGGCACCACAATCCAACTTTAGAACATTTTCACCCTTTCCAAAAGAGACCTTTTACCCAGTGGCAGTCAGTCCCCATCCTCCCTCCCCACCTCTGGCAACCATTAATCTCCTGTCTGCCTTCATAGATTTGTCTGTTCTGAACATAGTATAAAAATAATCATGTATGGTCAATGTCATGAGACAAAGTATATGTAAACTGCTGTATGGAAAGTGAATTTGCTCTGTAAATCTTCACCCAAATCACAATAATAATAAAAAATAATAATAATAATCATGTAATATGTGGTCCTTGGTGACTGTCATCTTTCACTTGGCATTATGTTTTCAAAGTTCATTTATGTCAAGGCATATATCAGAACTTCACTTCTCTCTATGGCCAAATATAATTCCTTTGTATGTATATTCAGGTAGTTTCTGACTTACAAGGGGGTTCCATTCAACTTCGTAAGCCCACTACTTCATTTTTCTCTCCCCCCCCCATTATTGTTGACTTTTACTATCAGTATCTTTATAAGTCCAATCTTTATTTATCTTTAGGGGTTGGCATGAGAATGATAACATCAACAGATGATGTGTTGTAACATTGTTTGTAGTACATATTACTAACGATAAAATGTACCCCAAAGATAGGGGTGGTCATTAGGTGTGGTTCATCATAATTTGAATATGTTGTAAGTCGGGGACTACCTGCAGCACATTTTCTTATCCATTTGTCAGTTGATAGACATTTGGGTTGTTTCCATTTTATGGCTGTTGTGAATAGTGTTGCTAGAACATTTATGTACCAGTATTCATGTGGATCTATGGTTTCATTTTTCTTGGGTATATACCTAGAAGAGGGAGCTCTGGTGGCATAGTGCCTAAGGCATTTGACTGCTAACCAGAAGTTTGGCAGTTCAAACCTACCAGCCACTCCTTAGAAGGAAGATTGGGCGATCTACTTTTGTAGAACTACCCCCTCAGAAACCCAAGGAGGGTCACTATGAGGTGAATCGACTTGACAGCGGTGAGCTTTATATCTAGAAGTGGAATTGCTGGGTTGTTGTTATTTGCCATCAAGTCGGCCCCAACTCATAGCAACCCCTCCTTGGGTTTCCAAGGCAGTATCACTACGGAAGTAGATTGCCCAAACTTCCTTCCGAGGAGTGGCTGGTGGGTTTGAACCACCAGCCTTCTGGTTAGCAGTGAAGTGCCTTAGGCACTATGCTACCAGAGCTGGGTTATAGGTGTTTAAATGAGGAACTGCCAAACTATTTTCCAAAGCACTGCACCATTTTGCATTTCCATCAGCCAACTGAGAATTCTAATTTCCACATCCTCAAGAACATTTGTTGTCTATATGTTTTATTATAGTCATCCTAGAGGTAGGTTTTAAGTGGCATCTCATTGTAGTGGGATTTACATTTCCCTAATCACTTAGGATATTGAACATCTTTTTATGTGCTTATTGTCCATTTATATATCTTTGGAGAAATGTCTATTCAAATCCTACGCCCATTTTTTAATTAGCTTGTCATCTTCTTGTTGAGTTGTAAGAGTTTTTATATGTTCTGAATATAAGTCCCTTATCAAACTTGTGACTTGCAAGTATTTCCTCCCATTCTTTCTTGGTGGTGTCCTTTAAAGCACGGAAATATTTAAGTTTGATGAAATCCAATGTGGCTTTTGTAAAATTTCATCACATTTGCTTTTCCTGTCATGTCTAAGAACCATCATCTAATCCAAGGCCATGATGATTTGCTTTTATGTTTTCTTCTAAGAGTTTTACAGTTTCAGGTTTTATATTTAGGTCTATGATCCATTTTGAGTTAATTTTTGTATGCGAGGTACAGAAATACGAGGTTCCAGTTTCCACCTTTACTATATCCAGTCGCCCTGGCGTCGTTGGTTGGAAAGTCTATTCTTTCCACCACTACGTTGTCTTGGCACCCTTGTCTATAATCAATTGACCATAAATGTTAGAGTTTATTTCTGGACTCTGAATTCCATTCCATTGATCTGTGTGCCTGTCTTTATGTCAGCACAACACTGTCTTGATTATTGGGGCATTGGAGGAAGTTTTGAACTCAAAACATGTAGGTGTTCCAACTTTGTTCCTTTTCAGGGTTGTTCTGGTTATTCTGGGTCCTTGCATTTTCATGTGAATTTTGGGGTCAGCTTGTTAATTTCTGCAAAAAGAGCAGCTGAGATTTTAATAAGGATTGTTTTGCATCTGTAGATCAATTTAGGGAGTATTGCCATCATAACTATCAATATTAAGTCTTCTGGTCCACGACCATTGCTAGCATGTAGAAGTACAATTGATTTTTGTGTGCAGCTCTTATATCTTACAATGTTGCTGAACTCATTTATTAGTCATAACTTTTAGCGGATTCCTTAGTGTTTTCTCTGTGCGAGATCATATTGTCTGCAAATAGAGACCATTTTACTTTTCAGTCTAGATAAATTTTATTTCTTCTTACCTAATTGCCGGCCTGCTACATTTTAGTAAAGCTTTTATCAGTATAAATATTCTTTCTTTCAAGCAATTGAATATTCTGTAAACATCCAGAAATCAGAAAAGAAGCTAAGATTTAAAGTATGTTTGTATATTCAGGGAATCTAGGACATTAAAAGTTATCTGAGGAAAGAAAGAATGGAAAACAAAACTATAAATGGACAAAACTTTCACACCATCCAGTATGTCATGGACCAAAACATCAGCTTAACCTCTTTTGCACCAAAAATTTCAACTTGGTTTTGGAAACTTCTCCATAGGAAAAGTGGATATCAGTAGAAACAGAATAGGCATGATCCATTTTACTGTTATCATTAAAGGGACACATTTTCCATAAAATGAAAAAGAGCTTTTTATCTTAACAGCAACATCTTAATGATGGTTAAACAGTACTAGGCTATGATAATTTGTGAGCTAGATCAATTTCGAATGCTATCACATTGGAGATGCTAGTAACCAAGTAGAGAACACTCCTCAGAAAAGGAGAGTAAATTAAAGAAGACAGCAATTTATGAATTTAAATTCTGTTGGATTCCATGAAAACTGAGCCATTGAAAAGAATAAATGAAACTAACTTGAATCACTACACTGGGTTGGAAAAATGCCTCTAAAGAATGTTCTGTATAATCCACTTAGGATTTTTTGAGTCACTTTTAACCAAAATAAAAACATATTTAACATTGAAAAAAAGGTCACAGTATGATCTTTGGATTTGAGATGCTAGGCTTTTACTTTAAATACTAGGAATTCCAGTGCATGAAAATTATTAAAAGCTTCTGGTATTTCTATTCTTAATATCCGTGCTTAGGGCTCTACTATTGTTGTTGTTGTTATGTGCCCTCAAGTTGGACCTGACTCATAGCGACCCCTCCTTGGGTTTCCGAGGTGGTATCACTACGAAAGTAGATTGCCCAACCTTCCTTCTGAGGAGTGGCTAGTAGGTTTGAACCACCAGCCTTCTGGTTAGCATTCAAGTGCCTTAGGCACTATGAGAATTATAAATCAGGAATAAATTGAAAATAAATACTGTCCAAAGGAATCTCTGAACCTGTTTCACAGTGAATCTTGTTATAATGAGGACATTATTCCTTGTATTGGACCCTCTGCCAGATCCTCATACTTAATGGAATTTCAGGGTGTGGCCCAAACCCTGCAGATGGTGTTCTGTGTGAGCAGGGGAAAGGCTTCCTGAAAGCATGTCCAGCTGACGTTTTGGAGCACATGTTTTCACTGTATTATTGAAACTAGTATTATACAGCCTTTGATTCTGTATTGTACTATGCACAACCTGCAGAAGCTAGTACCTGTGTAAGGTGGAAACCTGTTAGAAAAGGAAAACTCAAAGACTGAGTGATAGAAAAGTAGTAAAGACTATATCTTGTCAAAGGTGGAAAACCTGTGAGACCTGGAAAAACAAGGCAGTCCTATGAGTTCCGCCTCTCATAAGTTTCACTGCATTACAGACAGACAAGCGTCTCGGGTCTCAAGTACATATTAACCTATTAAGGAGCTATTGTGAAAGGTGATGCTTCAGTTTCCATAGGCTTTGCCTAAGGGGTTTTAAAAACTTCATCTTTTCTTGTTATTCAGGTCAATCTTGGAGAAGGAGGGACCAAAGTCACTTTTTAGAGGCTTGGGTCCAAATTTGGTTGGAGTTGCACCATCAAGGTAAGCATTACACTTTCCAGCTAACTTACTCTGCATTCTCTATGATGCTGAGTCCTTTCTTATTGAGGGTGATACTGCTCACCAGTCAGTTTCTTTTTCTGGGTTGGGTTTGCCTAAACACAGCCAACATACAGAAACAGTCAGCGATGTCTGTATGTGTGTCTTACAGTGTGCATGTCAAAGAGATGCTGATTATTTTTAACTATAAAAATTAATCTATCGTCAGTGGGACGCTAAGCTTTGCTGCTTAGAGTCTGGTCTGTAGGCAGCAGCATTGGTTATTACCTGGGAGCTTGTTAGAAATGCAGCCTCAGGCCACATCTGAGGCCAGCGTAGGAATCTTCATTTTAACCAGCCTCCTGGTGATTCATTATGCTCATTGACACCTTAATCTAGAGGAATTTGAAAAGCGTCTAAGCTTTACCTTAGATAAAACATTCTCATTTTTGTTACAAGGCTTAATTCTCTTCAAAGCTTGTTAGAATATATAGAGTTATACTGTCTGTCACCATAGCCACTGGCCAAATGGAGCTTTTAAAATTTAAATTAAACAAAATTGAAAATCAGTTTCACTAGCTACATTTTAGTTACACATTATCCTAGTGGCTACTGTATTGAATAGCATTTAAAAAAAAAAAAAAATGCACTGCTGTGGAGTAGGGTCTGACTCATAGTGACCCCTCCTTGGGTTTCCCAGGCGGTATCACTACAGAAGTAGATTGCCCAGCCTTCTGGTTTGCAGTCAAATGCCTTAGGCACTATGCCACCAGAGCTCGCATTGAATAGCATAGATAGAGAACATTTCCATCTTCTTAGAAAATTCCACAGGACAGTGTTGATAATAGGGGATAAATATGTGTGGATTTAAAGTGAAAATGTGAGTGAGACTGGGTGTGTGTGTGTGAGAGAGAGAGAGAGAGAGAGAGAGAGGGAAGGGGAGAGGGAGGGAGACGGAGAGAAGCTGTGGGAAGCTGGGTGGTTGGGGTGGGTTCTATATATATATATGCAGATATGTATCCACCTATATTCATACCTTTATATAATAGTCAAATAGACTTTAAAGAGAATTAAGCCTTATAACAAAAGTGAGAATACTGTTTTATAATGAAGTGTGAAGACTAAAGCCTCTAGAATTACTCCAGATCAGTGCCCCAATCTGTGTACAAATCACCTGGGGATGTTGTAAAAATGCAGGCTCCTATTTAACCCTTTTGTTCCTTTAGAATTTTGTAGCATCTGTGCACAGTCTATTTAAAAATAGAAAATACTAGTCTGGGATATATCATGGGGTTTAGCAAACATACTGCATATGATATGGTAAATAAAACATGTGTCTTCTCTACATGTGAGCAGTGCTGTGGTCGTACCTGTTGCCTTCAGTAGTTTCCTGACTACTTCATTCATTTAAAACAGTTGGGACCTAGGGGAAAAAAAGATTTTAGAATACCGCAGTAATAAATAGTCAAGATCCTAATTTGAAAAATATTTATGCTTGATCCATTGACCAGCATAGAAATTTCAAACCAGCACTTACTCCCCAACCCCAAAAGGAGAGAAGACAGACGGGGAAAAGAGCAGTCAGAAAGAAAGAGAAGAGAAAATTGTGCGTTTGGAGGGGGGGATGTTGAGGGGTGGAGATGGTGCAGTTCAGTCCCCACTTGCAGGCGTCAGCTTCTGGAGGCTGGGAGCATCTTCAGTTGAGGGGCAAGCAGGAGCTGTTTATGAAAACGTGTGGTGGCTGTGCCTATGTGATTCGGAGTCATCAAAAAGTTCAAATGATGTTTGACATATTCATTTTGGTGTAAGGCAGGACAAGTATGGTGTATTTTTTAGATAATACAAATTTCAAAAGTTATAGTATGTGTTGGTGCCTAAAGGATTAACTTTTATCGGGAGAGTTAATCCAGAATGAAGAATGTAATGGACTTTGTATGTGTTTTAATATCATATTCCCTGATTATTTTATAATTTCTGGAGTGGCAAGAGCCTTCGGGAAGGGTGACTAACAGGTTTTGGTGTTAGCAAAGATACTAGGAGATTTTGGTTACAGTATCAACTTCTTTCCTGTATGGTTTCTCAGATGTTGCAGAACGATATATGTAACTGTGTGTGTGCCTACCGTGTGTATGTTCTCTGGTGTGGTAACAGTTTCTTATAGCACTCTCTCTTTGTTCTAACAGGGCTGTGTACTTTGCATGTTACTCCAAAGCCAAAGAGCAATTTAATGGCATTTTCGTGCCTAATAGCAATATTGTGCATATTTTCTCAGCTGGCTCTGCAGGTATGTTACCCCAGTGAGTGGAGATAAGAGTGTCTCACTTTCCTTAAAGCCTGTGTTGTGCCACGCAGCTTTTTCCAGGCATTAGAAATTAGCTCCCTGCTTTTTTTGCACCTAAAATTATTTTTCTAAAGCTTTATGTTAGACCTGATAGAATATGAGCATTTGAGTTCATATTCAAGTTTGTAGCTTGGTTCCAATTTCTTTGACCACTAAAGCTTTTTATTCTCCCTAAAAATTTACATCTTTTTATGCATGCTCCTTGTTGGTGTTAAGTTTAAAGGAATATTAATATTTTTTATTCTGTTTCCCCATTAAGTTATTTTCTAAAGTCAGAGCTGCTTTTTTCATAACTCCATGGTGTCCAGCTTATCCTACACACAACTGGCACTTCTGACCTTAACAGTTGAATATTCCATAAAGGGGATTAGCCAAGGCTTGTCATTGAGCTTTGCAGTAGGGTCAGCAACGGATCAGGTAGCTTCTCTTCTCTTTTGATAGTGTCATTTCATTAAGATATTTTTTTCCGTGAAGTTCTTGGCAAAAAAAAAAAAAATTAATAAATAGATTTCTAGGGAGAAAGCTGTATATATCTTTTTATATATACTTTTGGTCTGTTTAAATAGAGAAGACATTTTAGAGAACTTTAATCGGCATTTTATGCCAGCCTGTAACAGGTGTCCTCCTGTTTTATCTGCCTCTGTTACTCCAAATGAAAGCATTAGCGACCCTAGTGCTTATAGACAATAACGTCTGACCCTGAACTAGAAACTAATGTTAACGAAAGCTGCTTCACACAAGACAGGCATTTCTCCATAATATGGAGGAAATCCAGCTTCAGTAGTCGATCTTCATATATCCTTCACTTAATAGGCCAATAGTGAGTTACACAAAAAAACTAAACTCACTGCCATCAAGTCAACTCTGTCTCATAGTTGACCCCCTTTGGGTTTCCAAGGCAGTAAATCTTCACTGAAGTAGATTACCCAGTCTTCCTTTCCCGGAGTGGCTGGCGGAATAGTGAGTTAGCCATAGCTAAAAGATGTTAATCAGGTGTAACTTTTGCAGAAATAACTTACAAGAATCCTTGGTAAATAAAGTAGCCCTGGAGGGAGTTTTTAAACCTTATTTTCCTAGTATCTGATGAATCTCCTTTCTCTGGAGGGCATGTGGTATTAGGGAAGAGGCCCACCAGTATCACAGCATTACTGCTTCTTGGTTGGTTTGGAATGACTAGCAGTGTGAATATGAAGAAGGCTTACTTTGACAACAACAAAAGAATAGTGCCAATAAGCAAAGCCTTACAAATTCAGTTTTTTACAATTATTATTCATGTATTGCATTTCTAAGTTGCATTCCGGTAAACAGAGATTTAGTTCCTTCTCCTCTGAGTTAGATATAGAATAACCTTATGGATTAGCAAGTTTCTAAAAACAAATTAGTTCTGGACCTGAAGTTTGTAAATTAAGTTTTAGAATTGTGTCATAGTTACCACAGCAGGCACATGAATGGAAATACCAACAGCACCACCTGGAGGTTGGGAAGATGTGTCGGGGCTCTAGAAAGTTGGAAAGAGATTGCTTGTAGACCCAGCATAGCAATAGGCATTGCATTTTAGAAAGTATAGCTTCTACCTCAAGTATAGATTGAAACTGCTTCCTGCTATCCATTTTCCTAAGCCATTGAAATCCTGATTTCAAAGTTTATCATGTGATACAGACATCTTTAATAAGCACAACCAAGATCAGTGATGACTTTTTCTGGCTTTTTTCTTTCAGCTTTTGTCACAAATTCCTTAATGAATCCTATATGGATGGTTAAAACTCGGATGCAGCTAGAACGGAGGTAAGCTGTTAATTGATCCTATGCATACTCCTTGATATAGGAAGAATTCTTGGGGATATGTCTTCCCCCAGTTCCAGCTTTGGAGTGAGGCAAGTGTAGTCCTTAGCTATCCTTGTCCTTGTTTTATTTTTAATATCAATGTAGGTAGAAACTCCTTTTGTTTTGAGATTTGTGCTGCCAACCCTGGCTAGGAAACAAGGGCCAACAGTTAATTCCGTTTAGGAATGACCGTGCTCTAGGCATTTTAATACTTGGTTCTAGTGGGCTCTGCTAGCATGTCCTTCAACACTAAATATTGGTTGCATGCTTCCTGTGCACTGGTCATAGGGAACTAGCAGGGAATAAGACATAGCCCTTGTCTTCCAGGAGCTACAATACAGCAAGGCTACAGAAAGTAAAGAGAGTGACAGTAGCCTGGTGTACTAAGGGACCTGGAGTACTGTAGGACCATGAAGGATCACCTGACACAGTCCAGGCAGGGTGGAGAGAGGGAGGAGGTTAGGGAAGCCTCCTGAGGCCAGGACATCCATGCTTCCATGTTAAGAATAGCCAGGGTGCTGACAGTAAGTTCTACACCTACAAAAAGTTGAATTGGCAAAAGTTATGTGGTAGATATATTTAACACAACAGCAGCAAAACAAAGGGTAGCTGCCGAAGCTGCTTATGTACAACCAAACACCTGGTGGGATTTAGTTCCTTGGTTTGGAGATTAAGGGTCATGGTTTCATGGGACATACCAGTTAACTGGCCTAATAATGTGTTCAGTGCTTCTGTCCTGCCTCCTACTTTGATGCATAGTGCCTGGGGTCTTAAAACTTACAAATGGCCATTCAAGATACATCAATTGGTCCCTTATTTGCCTGGAACAACAGAGGAAGAAAGAGAGTCAGGAGGAGAAAGTGAAATGTGTGGCTAACTGGACAACAGTACCCTTTGCCATGAGACCAGGACTGGATAGTGTGTGGCTACCATTACTGAACATTTTGATCAAAGATTCCATAGCAGAATCCTGATAAAAGAGGCAGGTAGGAAATGCAGAACAGAATTCCGTATTTTCTTGGAATCAGATTTCTGGAGCCAGTGGGGATGGATGAACCCCTGAAACTGTTGCCCTGCGATAACTTTTAAACCTTAAACCAAAAATATCCCCTGAAGTCTTCTTAAAATCAAACCCTAGTTAACTGGTAAAGAATGTCTGCCTTGGGCGTTGGGCTCTTCTAAGAACCATGTACATGGAATCAAACGGACAATGGCATCTCAAAAGATCAGATTGTAAACTTAAGGGGCAGTGAGTTTATGTTAATGGGAGAGGAACAGCTCAAAAAAAGAAGGTGAGAATGGTTGCACAGCTTGAAGAATGTGCATTGTCCTTGAACCGTATTTGTAGAAATTGTTGACCTGTTCCACTATGTTGTTCTCAACAACAAAAATAAAATATTAAACAAATTTTCTTAATAAAAGATAGGCCCAGCAGGAAAAGTAAAATAAAAGAAAAAAGAAGAGCTAGGGTGGCAGGGAAGAGTGATTTAGGCAGAGAGCACTGTATGTGAAAAATCCTGAGGCAGGATAGCATGGTGAATTCTGGGGAACTGAAAGAAGGCAGCGCAGTGGGGTGTACCGCAGGCACGGTGTGCACTGGAGAAGGAGAGGGTTAATGAAAGGAGAAGGCTGGAAAAAGGAGTGGGGAGCAGATCTTTAAAGGCCTTGGGAAGGAGTTTAGAGTTTAGACTTTGGCTTTCTTCTGAAGGTGGTGGAAAGCCTTTAGAGCTTTACTTCTCATTGGTGGGGGAGTGGGGGGGGGGTTAGTGAGTCTACTCCCAGGGGACTTCTAACAATGTCTGGAGACAATTTTGGGTGTCACAACTGGGATGGCATCTAGTGAGGTGGGGCCAACGATCACTGCTAATCATCCTGCCATGCATGGCACAGCCCCCACAGCTGTGTGACCCTAAGTGTCAGCAGTGCTGAGGCAGAGAAACCCTGCATTGGAGGATTCTAAGCTGGGAAATGACCTGGCTGGATGTGTGTTAGAAAGGTCAAAAGGTCCCTTTACTTCAAGTGTGGAGAAAGGCTTCTGGAGAGACTGTCGGGTAGGCAGGGAGACTCGTTTGAGGCTGACAAGCGTGAGGATGCCCTGCTCTGGACCTTCGTGGGAGGATTGTTTGGCATGTGACCAGAATAAACATAATGACATCCCCTGAAGTCATTCATTCTGCTTGGCAGCGGGCAGTTATAAATACTTTAAGTCCTTGCGTAGGAGCACCTAGTTTTAAGGTGTTTATTAGTTATTTTATAATTTATGCAATATTTATAATTTTATTATTGTTATTGTTGTTGTTGTTATGTGCTATCGAGTCGGCCCCAACTCATAGCGACCCCTCCTTGGGTTTCCGAGGCAGTATCACTACGGAAGTAGGATTGCCCAACCTTCCTTCCGAGGAGTGGCTGGTGGGTTTGAACCGCCAGCCGTCTGGTTAGCAGGCAAGTGTCTTAGCCACTATGCTACCAGAGCTCCCAATTTTATTATAAAATTAAGAAATAACAGTCTCAAAATATACGATTTGGAGACTAGAGAAATTAGCAAGAGTACCCATATACTCCCCACCCTGTCAGCATTTAGGTGGATATCCCTTCAGAATTCTCCTAAAGCATATTTGTATCATAGTTGTGATTATTCTGTACATAGAAATTGTCCTGCTTTTCCACTTAGAGCATTTCCCTCCCGGCTTCATAACCATTTAAATCTAGTATATGCATAGTAGTTTACTTACTACTCCTATATTTAGGTAATTAGATTATTAGTTCCTCTGTGCTTAACATCTTTCCAAAATTAGGTCAATGGCTATGAACATTTTCTATGATTCTTGATACAGATAGACATAACATCTGGTGGGCCTTCCAAGTGACCCTGCCTCCTTCTTCTCAACCTGGAAGCCTGAGTGTGACCACTGTGCCAGGAAGACAGAGGTCACCTGGTGTAGAACTCGTCCTTATGTTCACGGTCACCTAGTGTGATGGGTGCAGCGGCCATCCTGCTGGTGTGTGTTCTAACAGGTCTGTCGTTGGTCTCCTTGTGCAGAGTGAGAGGCTCCAAGCAGATGAATACACTCCAGTGTGCTCGCTATGTTTACCAAACGGAAGGCGTTCGTGGCTTCTATAGAGGATTAACAGCCTCCTATGCTGGAATCTCAGAAACTATCATCTGTTTTGCTATTTATGAAAGTTTAAAGAAGTATCTGAAGGAAGCTCCATTAGCCTCTTCTACAAATGGGACTGAGAAAAATTCCACAAGTTTTTTTGGACTTATGGCAGCTGCTGCTATTTCTAAGGGGTGTGCCTCCTGTATTGCTTATCCACACGGTACGTTATGCTTTTTCTTCCCGAGCAAACAGCTGCCAGGTCTGTGTCAGTTGTCAGTGTATCTAAGCCTCTGTAGCACAAGTTGGGATGCAGATGCCTTCCGGGAAGGTCAGAGTACACAGGGACTGCCTGTACGGACACACAGTGCATTGTGTGAGAGACCCCAGCTGATCGTGGCCAGAGCTGCTGCCCTACAGAAATGTGCACCCTGTCTTGCTAAATGTCTTGTGCGTTTTTTTTTTTTTTTTTCAAAGCCAGAAATCTGGATTTATACATGATTTTAAGTGATACAGGAACCAAACTAGAAAAAAAAATAAAAAAGCTCTCAGCTTCTACTCTTTGAATAGAGTGCAGAGGACGGCTCCTTTGGGTAAATTTCTTTTTTAAGAATTATAGAACTGATATCCTATTGGCCTACTTAAAAGTAAACAAGAAAATAGAGTTTAGTTTATGGTGCCATGAAAAAACAGATTTTGTTTTCAAAAGCCTGTGCAGCATTGTTGGCTATGACAAGTGCACGTGGTCGGCAAGTTCCGCTGACAGGCATTGAGTCCCCTGTATGCGCACTGGCACTGGGCTAGGCTGACGGGGATGAGGTTGGTGAGGCCTCTTAACAGTATGGAGACAGATGCACATGTCCACTGAGGCCTGCACAGTGCACAGGAGCTGGTGAGCTCTGTGCCGTGCGTGCCCACGTGAGGGAGTGCCACATCAGTGAAAGCTTGAGAACAGCGTGGTTCTGAAGCAGGGCCACGTGGAGCCAGATTCTAATAGAAAGAGTGGGGGTACATGAAAAGAATGCCTTACTGAAGATATTTACAAATCACACCTTCAGTGAAATTAGGTATTTGCTTAATGAGGAGTTAGGTACCATCAGGTCAGTTGGAGCTCATAGCCCAACCCATGTGGGAGTAGAACTGCCCCATAAGAGTTTTCTAGGCTGTAATCTTTATAGGAGGAGCTCTGGTGGCATAGTGCCCAAGGCACTTGACTGCTAACCAGAAGGCTGGTGGTTCAAACCCACCAGCCACTCTTTGGAAGGAAGACTGGGCAATCTACTTTTTTAGTGATACCACCTCGGTAACCCAAGGAAGGGTCGCTGTGAGTTGGATCCGACTCGATGGCAGTGAGTTTGGTTTGGTTTGTTTGGTAATCTTTACAGGATCAGGTTGCCAGGTCTTCTACAGGGCTGATGAGTGGGGTTCAAACCACCAACCTTGCAATTAACAGCAGAACACTTAACTGTTGCACTAGCAGTAGAAAACAATAAACTGCCTTAAATTAAGCCCCATTCAAATGAAGCTGTTTTAAATCCCTTGAAAGTTATTTTGTACTGTATGTGTGTGTGTGTGTGTGTATATATATATATATATATATATATATACATACACAAAAGTGACCAATTCCCAGAGTTAGAAAACGGTGTAAAAATAACTTAACTTTACATTATAACTTTATGTATGTGATTGCCCTGCCCAAGGAGAGCTGAGATGGCAAGTGGATGTAGCTGTGCCTTGACAGACTGTGTGGCAAAGCTATATGCTAGCTGCTTTTGACTTTCCCTGTGTTGCATAAAAAGTGTATTTCTCTCTTTCAGAAGTCATAAGGACACGGCTGCGTGAGGAAGGCACCAAGTACAAGTCCTTCATCCAGACTGCACGCTTGGTGTTTCGGGAGGAAGGTTACCTGGCCTTCTACAGAGGACTCTTTGCCCAGCTCATCAGGCAGATACCAAATACTGCCATTGTGCTGTCTACCTATGAGTTAATTGTGTACCTGTTAGAAGACCGTGCTCAGTAACAGGCCAGAAAATTGTACTGTAGAAGAATAAAACTGAAAAACTCTAGAGAATTTTTTTCCATTGATGTTTAGAATGTTTGAGACTGAAACAGGAAAAGTCAGAAAAATCCTGGCTCTTATCACCTGTTGGACATTTCCTTTTGGATTCATGCTTTCTGGAAGGTTCTAATTCATTAACGTTGAGAGTTAATTATGACTTTTTTTTTTTTTTTAACTTAAGAGAATACAGGATTAAGCAGCAACTAAATTAAATCATGCTATTTAATTTACGTATAAATTGGATTTGTGTCCTCTTTTATGATCACTATTGTAAAATACAGCTAAGGGCTTCAGTATTTCAGGCTACATGCAGAGATGTCAAGAAAAACTATAAAGTCTGACTTGTTTTCCAATCTGACTTTAGTACTTCACACCACTGGCCAAGTAGTAAGTGTCACACTTTGGCAGTACTGTGTGGGCCATGACAGACTCCTAAGTTATTTATCTCCTTTGTACATTTCAGATTCTGCATATCAGTTACAACCTAAGCCTTCAGACTGATGAGATGAAAAAACTAAGTACAGTTTTGTGGCACTAAATATTCTTAACTAGAAACATTTTCCTGAGGTTATCTTCTTATCCTCTATTTGAACCAAAGCAAGAGTTGTAAAGAATGGTTTGTCACTTAACATAGCTCCTGGATCTATTCCTAGAATTGAAGGCTAGGTAAGCCCCAGCACCTTCTACGTGTGTTACGGCACAGCCTCCAGGTAGGCTGGGAATGTAGACTGTGACAACTAATATTCCATCTGAGGTCTGTACCACTGTTCTTGGGTCTCTGCTACTGGAGAAAAGGGGCTTAACTCAGGATCGATTGCCCACTCTCTGGCTAGTTCACTTACATTCTGACAAGAGGTCCTTGGTGGTGTTTAAATATAAGCCTAGTTTAAAGTTGGAGGGTCAACAAAAAAGGGAAAGGCCCTCAACAAGATGGATTGACACAGTGGCTACAACGATGGGCTCAGGTATAGCAAGGATCATGGTGCTGGCACAGGCCCGGGCATTGTTTCATTCTGTTGTACATAGGGGTTGCTGTGAGTCAGAGATGACTTGACGGCATCTAAACAACAACAACAGTTCAAAGTACAATTAAAAATTTTTTAAACCCCAGAAGTGAGAAATTACTAAAATTTTACCCTTGTGTCTTAATGGAAATTTAATGAGGAATTTAAAAAAAAAGTAAAAAAGGCAGGTAAAATCAATAATCTTCCATTGCTGCTTCTCACTGGAATTTGAACATAGCGTACATTAAGGTTTTCAATCTGAAAGATACTTGATTCTAATACACGATACATTGTAGTTGCAGATTTAACTGCAGATACAATGATAGGGATGAGAGAAGGATATTTTCAAACTGGAGTTTAATTTAGGTCACCTTTATAGTAGTAAGGTTCTTGAGCCTTCTAGCATAATTGGCTTCAGCATAGTGGCTAAGACACTTGCCTGCTAACCAGACAGCTGGCGGTTCAAACCCACCAGCCACTCCTCGGAAGGAAGGTTGGGCAATCCTACTTCCGTAGTGATACTGCCTCGGAAACCCAAGGAGGGGTCACTATGAGTCAGGGCCGACTCGACGGCACATAACAACAACAACAACAACTACCGAGAAGTCAGAATGAGTCAAGCTTCAGTGCTTCTAAAATGCATGATAGTAAAATGATCTTGATGCCAAGACTCAATTTTAACTCTGGGATAATGGCGCAAAGCAACATCCTTCTCTTTTAATATTCAAATTAAAACATGAATTTTTCCTCAAGATTTTATCTTATATGAAGGTAAAAGTAGGTGTGGTGCAAATGGGTAAGCACTTGACCACTAGCTAAAAGGCACCCTGGAAGACAGACCTGGTGATCTGCTTCCAAAAGGCGGCTGGCTGCCTTGACAACCCTGTGGAGTGTTGTACCTTGAACACATGGGGTCGCCACGAGTTGGAATTGACTTGACGGCAACTAACAACTACTCACTGTGTGTGAAGATTATTTAGAAATAATACATAGTATAATTTAGGTCTCTGCTTGCTTCTACACCAGGGCATTAAAGTTCAATTTCAGCACCAAAAGTAGAAAGAAAACAAGCAGAAAAGTAAAGCTCCCTCTTATTAAGAGGCTTGTTGGATAAGTTTGAGCTGTTGATGGAAAAATCCCATCGTTTGTTTCTGTCTTTTCCACAAGCTGCTTGTTATGTGCCGTCGAATTGGATCTGACTTACAGCGACCCCTCCTTGGGTTTCCGAGGCAATATCACTACGGAAGTAGATTGCCTAACCTTCCTTCCGAGGAGTGGCTGGTGGGTTTGAACCGCCAGTCTTCTGGTTAGCAGTCAGGTGCCTTAGGCACTACGCTAGGGATTTCATTATTCTTAAAGTCATATAATAAGACTTAAAAATCTCATTGCATGTCCAGTGTGTGCCAAACACTTTTGCAAGGTGGTATTTTTTTTTCCTCCTTTAAATTCTGATAACTTTGTGAGGCAGGAATATTGCCACCCACATTTTACAAATAAGAAGCTGGGTGGGGGTTGGTTAGGGACTTACATGATTTACTTGAGGTCATGCAGGTGGTAAGTGGTAAGCTGACCTATAGGAGACTTATGCTACCTGTTAAAGAAACAGAGGAACCTGTGGAGTGGACCATCGATTTCCTGAAGGATTGCAAATCTACAGGCAGTAGCCCTGATGAAGGTGAGCTTGAGCTAATGCAAATGACAATGGCATGCATGCTTTGTCCATGGAGATAGAATCCTTCCTCTGAGTAGGACATTGTGCAGACACCAAATTGTTCTTGGAAAGAGAATGATACTTCAACACAGTGCCACATGTCTGAAAGAAGTAACACTGGTTATTTGGGTGCTGGTGGCTGGTGACTGCAGCACGACAGCAGATGAGAAAGTCTTTGCTTTGATACCCACTTCAAGGCTGGTGTCCAGCACTGCCTCTAATCCCCCCTGGGTTTCATCCTTGCTCCCTCACTGTCTGTGGTCCTTCTTTCATCCAATCCAGTGATCCAGTGAATGCATAGGACTAGGGTGTTGGACGGAACAATGGAGCATCAGGAAGCAAAGGTATAGTATTTGCCCCCAAATCTAAAAGCCATCACTGTCCGCAAAGAACTTTAATGTGGAGCTCAAAACACTGGAAACATTGTGGGAGCATTGGAACGTATTTGCAATTAAACACAAATATTTCCTACCGTTAGCTTTCTTATTATTACTATTATAACAAAGGTAATTTAGCTCAAATCAACAATGCTGACACACTTACATAAAGTTAACCTCTTCCTATCCCACCCTGCTGAGGTAACCAGTGTTAGCAATTCAACGTTAACCATTCTCTAACCAAAAACAAAACTGAAGACCCACTGCCATGAGTCAATTCTGATAAAGTGACCCTACAAAAAATATATATATACAACCCACTGCCATGGAGTAAATTTCGATTCATAGTGACCCCTATTGGGTTTCCGAGGCGGTGAATCTTTATGGAAGTAGATTGCCTGGTCTTCCTTGATGGAGTGACTGGTGGGTTTGAACCTCCAACTTCCTCGTTAGCAGTCAAGTGCTTTGGGCACTACACCACCAGATGTTCTACAAGCATACACGTGTTATAATTCCATGCACTGTCATGGAGTCGGATCAACTCAGCGACCTCTCCTTGGGTTTCCGAGGGGGTATCACTACGAAGTAACCTTCTGGTTAGCAGTCAAATGCCTTAGGCACGATGCCACCAGAGCTACACGTGTTATAGGGGTTTATTTTTTCAAACTTTGGATATTTGCACGTTGCTTTTTTAAAGCAGTGCACCATCCCTCCAGGCCAGCAGCTATAGCTCTGATATTCTAATAGTTGCGTTATAATTTGTTGAACTTCACCCCTATCGATGGACAATAATGTTTCCTATACTCGACCGCAGTGAGTTTGGGGAGGTGGCTTCAGTGGAAGTTCCTTAAGGAGCTGCAACGATCAGCAAAACTGATCATTGAGCGCATAGACCGCGTAGTATTTGGGAAGAGAAATAGCGAAAGAAAAAGACTAATGACAGTGCAGTCGAAAATGCCGGAGATGCTCTCCGCTCACTTGCAGTAGGTGGACGCACTTTGTACGGAGGGACTGCAAGGACGACTGCAGCCGCCATCAGAGTTCCGGGCCCAGGCGGAGGGGTAGCTCCGAGCCGGCTCCCAGGCGGTATCCCAACTCTGGCCGCGTGGGGCGCGTCGGAGCCTAGCCCACAGCTTCCGCCGGCGCCCCGCCCGCCCCTGCTCTCCTCACTCATTGATTGGCTGCGCAGCGGGCGCGCGCAGAGTCAGGGGGCGGGCCCGCGCCGGCTACAAAGCGCGGCGAAGGTCACGGCGCAAGGGGCGCGCGCCGCCGCTCCCACTCGGTCAGCTAGTCCTCCCGGCCGCCTTGCCCGGCTGCCATCCCGCGTGGGAGCCATGGAGGGAGTGAGCGCGCTGCTGGCCGGCTGCCCCACAGCCGGCCTGGCCGGCGGCCTAGGGGTCACGGCGTGCGCCGCGGCCGGCGTGCTGCTCTACCGGATCGCGCGGAGGTGAGTGCGGGCCCATGCTGCCGACCTCTGCAGGCCCACGCGGCCGCCCCGCCCGCTCTCCCGAGCCTGCTCCCTGTCGCCTGCTGGCCGCTCTCGGCCTCGGCCCTGCAGCCCCCCGCATGGTGGGTGTCCTGCCGGCAGCCCTCGCGCGCCTCCTTCCCCCGGATTGCGGGCCTCAGAGATGCCTCCTTACCCGGGGTCCCGCAGAGGCCACAGCATCGCGCTGGGAAGCCGGCCTGTTGGCTGATGCGCGTAGACCCCCACCTAAAAAAGCCCGAGTTGGGAATCTTTGTTCAGGAAGCGGCTGATGAGTCTGGCTCGGGTTTGAGGGGAATTCAGAGTGGGCACAGGAACTCTGGGAATGTGAGGTGCAGGCGAGAGTACCCACAGAGCTCCCACGCAAGGTCCGAAACACCCTCTGTCCCCCACACACACACCTAGGCCACCCAAACTGCAGAAGAATCGAGCAGCCGATGAAGATAGAGGCACTCCTCTGTGTCCTGCTGGTGGCCTTGACCCCTGGTCCCCCCCACAGCACCACCACGCTGGGATGATGGTGATAATGGCCATCCTCTATTGATCTGCATAGGATGTCCTGGGCATTGTGTTAAAGTCTTCCTGTTAGCCCATTTCATATTCTCAGGCCCTGCTCCCCAGAGGCTGAGGCACCAAGAGGTTAAATGAATGGTCAAGTGGAAGCACCAAGATTTGGATTGAACTGTCTGCCTCTGGCGCCTACAGCCCTAACCACTGGGAAACACTGCCTTCAAGATCCTGCCTGAGATACTTCAGGGGACATTAAAGGGGGGCTGGGCTAGTTCAGTGGCAGCCCCCAGCCCTGGCTGGATGGCACCCAGAGGTTATGCTGACCTGCATATTTGGAGATGACCTCTTATTTGTATTCCTGATCAGGGTTTAAAATTTTAATGTTTTCCTGCCTTAGCAGGGCCTCGGGAAGAGAGGACTGTTTTCCCACCTAACCCACCTTCCCAGAGGACAAGGGAAAAAGGCAAGGCTGTGAGGACATCCTAGGGACAGAATGGGTAGGTTTGCAGCTTCCTCAAGGACTGCTAAAGGATGCTCAGATACTTGGTGAAAAGTGAAAGGACTTGCCCATGGTCACTCAGCATTAAGTTACAGAGCTGGGATTTGAACCCAGGCCATCCAGCTAGCAAGTCTTGTTTTTCCTTAACCAGTACCGTGTAGTGTTTCTTGAGTCAGAAGGGAGAAATAAGTGAGAGTGGTTGAGTCACAGGCTTCTTGGGGGAGGAAAGGGTAGGAGGGACTTGAGCTGGGCCTGGAGAATGAGCCAGACTTGCAGACTGAGGAGGGGGAGGCTCCCAGGGGAAGAGATGAGTATAGGGATGAAGTTGGAGGTTTCCTGGACAGGCTGCAACCAAGACAATGACCCCTGAGAACCCAGGTGTGCGTGTACCAGTTCCTGTCCAATTTCTAGAGGTTGAGGGTGGTGGTGTCTCCAGGACCAGCTGGTCCAAACTGGTTCCTTTATCCACGAGAGCACTAAGGTCTGAAGTGTAGGATCCAGAGGCCAGTGTTTCTCCTGGATGATATTTCCTCAACTCAGGATAGGGAAGTGGTCCCAAGAGTCGGAGCCTGGATAGAACAGGGAACAGGTGTGACTCTGCATCATCCCCAAGCTTCCCAGCATCTTAGGTGCAGCGTGGCTGGGTTTGCCTCTATGAAGTGTTGGGGAGCTGGGTACAGGGGGCACAGTGGGGTGGGCCAGAGCCATGGTGTTACACTGTTGCTGTGGGTTGGGGTTGCGGTTGGATGCTCAGGGATGTCTGCACACAGCACTGGGTTTGTCCAGAGGTTATCAATCAGCAAGTGTTGCTATTCAGAAACAAGACCAGCCCAGCAGCCGGAGCCTCCTCCCTCTGGGAAGATAGCGGGCCAGGGAACAGTGGGATGATGATGAAGCTGGCTTTGGTGGCAGCATGTTTTTTGAGCAGCCCCCAGGAGGGCACATAGGAGAGGTGTTTTTTGAAGGCGACTTGGCAGGTGGGAATGTGTAGGCTCAGCACAGGGGTTGCAGTGGTCAGGGACATGGCCCTATGGCCAGACATGAAAAGAGAAGCTGCCTGGCGCACCATGGATCTGTCGTCCTCCACTCTCTGCTCAGAGAGTAAGGGTCTGGTGAGAGAGGTCACTTTTCAGAAGGGCATTTATCCTCCCAGAGCGTGTCAGGGCAGACCCCAACTCCCTCCCGTGGAGCCTTCTCACCCACACTACTGTTATTATCATAACAGCCAGTATTTCTGTGCTGATGACAAACCAGACACTGTGCGAAACATACAGCCCCCTCAAGAACCGCAGTAGCAACCTCCTGGGGTGGTGCTACTCCTCTCCTCACCTCCCAAGTTAGAGAGGTCAGGCCACCTGCCTCAGCCACCTGATCAGTCCCTGCCTGACTCCAGCTCTGAACCAGGCACCATGTCTGGGACCTCACTGACCACCTTGGCCTCTTCTCAGCCCCTTGGGTGGCCACCACCATCAACACAGTCTCAGGGCTAGAAGCAAAGTTCTCTTTTACACACACATGGGTTTGCTCACCCTGTGTCCAGGGGGTCATGGCAACCCTAAGCTTTTTATGCTCATCCTACCCAAACTCTCCTATCTACTCTCAAAATCAGGTGTGGCCATGTCTGTGCACTGCGCTTCCCTGTCCTGCAGGAACCACAGGGACTGCTTGTGTTCGCTGGGATTGTGCACTTTCCAGTGGCTGGCCTTCAGCATCTGCCGATGCCCCGCCCTGCCCAGGCTCAGTGCCCCACTCTCGCCCCTGTGCTGCACGCCCCAGCAAAACGGCACTGCTCTCTGGTTGCATGCTGCACCGCTCCTCTCTGGGCCTTCACCTCGCAGCCCTGTCTGCCTGAGGGCCATCTCCTTTTTTTCTTTTTTGTTTTTTTTGGTTTTTTTTGTTTTGGCCCATTAGTGAGCACATCACTCTAGGCCACTGCAGTGTGCCACCTATTGGCCCCTCTCCGGTGGCTTTTGCCACCATCTGGCCCCTGAGGCTGACATCCTTGTCCTTGTGTCAAGTTCAGAAGTGGACAGGGCCCTGCTCATCTTTGCATTTCTGTTGGATTGAGGTGACTGGGGGTGGTCCCCCAAGGCTAGGGCCTGCCCCCAGAATGGTGGGTTAGGTTTCTGCCTAGTGTCAGAAGGGCTGCTGTGGATTTGTGTGTTTTGCTCTGAGGAGGATGGTAGGGGCAGGAGAAGGACCATCTAGTCCTGTGTGCCCAGGGGTGTTTTGGTGCCTGGTCGCTGCAGCCCAGGCTGAACGGGAGAACACGTGTGTTTCTGTTGCCTTGAGGTCAGTGTGGTATATGTGGGGTCAGTGGTGTGGCAGGTATGAGGACAGCCTCCTCAAAAGCCCACCCATGGCCCGGAGGAGCAGGTGCGGACCTCTGTCATAGGATGTCCTATTGGAGCTGACCTCTGACTCCCTGGGCTGCTGGGGCCAGCACTCAGTGGCCAGGGCCCTGGTTGGGGGAGAGGGGGGCTGGGCCCCCTGGAGACTGATTCACACAGGCCATCTCTGTACTCGCCAGGTGGGTCTGTCCCATCCTGTGTCTCCACGTGGCACTGTACTGGGCACATAGCAGGTATCTGACCCTGGCAGGTTCCTAGACACAAGACCTGCAGCTGCAGCCTCAAGCGCTGGGCTAACACCTAGAGCAGGCCCCCCACTGTGGATGCTAATAGCGACATCGACATTAAGGGGATATGTTCTCAGGTTCTCCCTTTTTTGCAGTGTGTGTTCTTGGGCTGGTGGAGGGGTGGCCCAGAGTGTGCAGCTGCCTCCTGTCGCCCGGACCCCTGCAGAGCCAGCAAGCCTCGGTGTTGAGGTGGTGGCAGCCTAAGGCCTGCCATCCACTGGGGCCCACAACCTGTCTCCTTAGGTGGCCTGCCCGGGATAGGGCTTAGGGGCCTTGGAGGCCTGCAGCTGGGCTCCAAGCTGCCCAGAGCCCAGACCAGGTGCCCCTAGGAGGGAGAGAGGTCTCTCTCCAGGGCCTACCTCCTTCTCTCTGTTTCTGGCTTCCTTACCTGTGTGACAAGGGCATTCTGCCTTGTCACCTCAAACCTGGTCACACTGAATGTGGTTTGTCCCAGAAGCTGGTGGAGCTGAATTGGCATGGGGGAGAGACATGGGTTTAGGGGTTCCTGGGGGGAGTAATTCCCTGAGTGAAAGCAATACCACACTAAGCCTGGCACTGGGCTGGGTAGAAGGCAGGCATGTTCTGGAGGCCAGGACCCCCAGCCAGCTGGAGGACTGTGAGGGCACTGTAGGCATGGCCCTACATGGGGTTTACATCCCTGGTGCACGTGTCTGACACATAGGGCTCTGGAGAGCCAAGACTGGTCTGGTGGGCAGGCTCTCTATCCCAGGCTCGCCCCAAGGACCATGAGCAATGACTCCTGGCATTCAGACCTGGCCTGACACTGTGTAGGCAGGTGGAGTGGGCACCCGGGGGAGAGGCCTCCTGCTCTGGCAGGGATTAACATGGGATCAGTCTGAGACTGGAGCCATTTCCCTGGCAACAGAGCTAGAAATTCAGAGAGGGGCAATGGCTCCCAAGGGGGGCCCTGGACAGGCTCCCTGGGCTGAAACCACAGTTCCTGTGTACATGTCATGGGTCCTAGGCCAGCATCTCTCCCCTCCCTGTGTCCCTGTATCCGTCAGCTGCCAGCACGTGCTTTTCTGCTCAGCTTCTCGGGTGGATGGGGTGTAGTGGGGTCTGGGGCCGATGTGGACAGGGTTAAGGGCTACGGCCCTTGTTGGAGATGGACAGGTTCATCACACTGCCCCAGGCACAGGGCTGTAGGGATGAGGGAGCATAACGGGGACGAGCAGCCTGTGTCACAGTCACAAAGAAGCCTCTAAAGTAGGTACAAATTAACAGAGTGTATATCAGGGCCTCGTTGCCTGAGTCACCAAAAGCCAAATCCTGTGGAGGCCAACCCCCTGGCAGAGTGGGTTTCCACTCAGCTGTGGCGAGCGCCTCTTCCCATCACTGCCAGTGGAACAGTAGCAGGCACTGGAGGCTGCCACAGACTAAGCACGATCCCAGATTCTCTCGTGAGCCCTGTGCTGCTGACAAGATGCTGCTGCCCTTTGCCAGCCATCGTGAGGGCTTAGGCCTGTGCTGGAGTGGTGGGCAGGGGGGTGCTACCAGGGAGTATCCACGTCCCTTCTGAGGATCTGGTTTCTCCCTTCTTCTCTATGCCTCCCCCCACCGCCATAACTCCCATTTATTGGATACTAGTCCCTGGTTGACAGAGACAGTTAAGCACTTGATTATTAGCCAAAAGGTTGGTGTTTCAAACCCACCCAGGGGTACCTCAGAAGACAGCCCTGGTGACCTGCTTCCAAAAGATCAGAGTTTTGAAAACCCCATGGAGCATTTCTAGTCTAGACGGAGTCAGAATCGGCCCAGTGGCAGCTAACAACAGTAACGCTCCAGGACAGGCCCTGTCCCCTGCAAAGTAAGTGGTCTCCAGTTGACAGGTGATAAGACTGAGGCTGGAGAACTCGGGGAACTGGCCATTAATCAGCAGGCAAGAGGGGCAGGGCCAGCCAGTGGCTGCTGGTATCAGGAGCCAGGCTTCCTCCCAGGCCAAGGCAGGGGTGGGGTTGTAACAGCAGTGGCCCTCTGTCTGCAGAACACCTGCCTGTGTCTGTCACCAGGTCCTCCTAACGCTCAGATGGCAAGGGTGCTGCGATTGCTTCCACTTCACAGACACGGTGCCAAGGCCAGGGGAGAGCAAGAGGCTTCCTGTGGTCCCACTAGAAGAGTGGGGGGGGGGTGAATTCTGACAGTTGTGCCCTCAAGCCCTCTGGCAAACAGGGCCGTCTGTGGTGTGGCTCCCACCCTGGCAGGACCCAGGGAAGGCAGCTTCCCTAGAGTGGGGGAGCAGAGGCATAAGAGGCATAAGGCCAGGACCCCAGGCTTCAAGCAGCTGCTGCCATTGCCTACATTGTATCTAGATTCCTGGGACAGGACTGTTTGCTGAGCAGTTGCTGTGCCCCCTCCCTGTGTCCTGCAGCAGACAGATCCCCTAGTATCTGGGCTAGGATTATCCCGCAGACCCCACCTGTCACCACATATGTGGCCTGTTTGCCCTCGTCTCATCACCAGGGAGGGCTGAGGGTTGGCCCTGGACTGCGCAGCTGGCCCTGATCCTACGCCTGGGCGTCCAGGGGACTGTCTTCCTGTGAGCACAGCAGGCTCCCTTCAGTCAGGAAAGCTCCCAGGAGCACCGTATCTGCAGCCTGGGAGCCTCGGGGCAGCGGAGTACTGGAGCCTGACAGATAGTTCCTGTGGCCTGGCCAGCCTCAGCCTCGTTGTCCCCTATGTCCAAGCAGCAGGACACCAGGGGCTGGTGGCTCTGGGTCAATGCATGGACACACTGGAGCCCAGAGATCTGGTGAATTGGTGACCACTGTGGGGCTGCTTTGATGCAAGAGGTTAAGAAAAATCTGAGTTGTGTGCATCCTTGTTCCGTCCTATGCAGACGCACCATCATCCAGTCTCAGTGTGCGGCCTGGGATGGGATAGGGCTTAGGTCAGCCAGTCTGCAGGTGGAAGAGCAGGGCCTAAGGCGGGCTGTGGATGACCTCACTCTTCCTTCCATCCACAGGAAACCGACCCACACCATTGTCAACTGCTGGTTCTGCAACCAGGACACCGTGGTGCCCTATGGGAACCGCAACTGCTGGGACTGCCCCCACTGCGAGCAGTACAACGGCTTCCAGGAGGTATGGCACTGGCTGGGGGCGGGACCTTGAGGCTATCTGCCTCTGGGGCCTGGCCCACACCTGCCGCTTCCCAGGAATCTTCTCGTGGGCTCCTCCCCCTGCCCTGGCCCTGTGCTCCTTCTTTGTCCAGCTGAGGAACAGGCTCAGAGAGCTGAGGTGGCTTGTCACAGCACTAGAAAGTATGGACTTAGGGTTCAAACCCAGGTTTCTCTGGCTCTTAGGCCTATTCTCCTTGCTTTCCACTAGGCCTGGACAAACATTTTTTGTATATGCCTTATAGTAAATAGCTTATGTCTTAAGCTTTGAACCCATACAGTCACTGCATAGTTGTAACATCTCAACTCTGCCATTGCAACACAAATGCAGCCATAGTCAGTCTGAAAGCAAGTGACTATGGCTGTGTACCAATAAAACGTTGCTTGTAAAGAAAGGTAGCCAACCAGCAGGCTACGGATTGCTGGCCCCTGCATTAGACAGTAGATTGCAGACTGAGCTCCACAGAGCTGTAGGTGCCTGAGGAACCAGGTCGGGTGATAGTGTGGACAAGAAGTGGGATCTGGGTTTCTCTGTGTTTTGCCTGTTGGGATTCCATGTGAAATTACTTTGGAAGAATGGCCTCTGCAGTTGCATAGAAAGGAAGAATGGTAAGGTTTGAGAGCACCACCCCTCCCCTGGGGCCTCCCTGCTCAGGGCCTCTGATTTGGGATTCCCTGACTGACTGTGGGTCCTACCTCCCCCTCACCCCCCAGAATGGCGACTACAACAAGCCTATCCCTGCCCAGTACCTGGAGCACCTGAACCACGTGGTGAGCAGCACACCCAGCCCCTGTGACCCCACGAAGCCCCAGCAGTGGGTGAGCAGCCAGGTCCTCCTTTGCAAGAGGTGCAGCCACCACCAGACCACTAAGATCAAGCAGCTGGCTGCCTTCGCCCCACGAGAGGAGGTGAGGCCGCTGGACAGGCAGGGAGGGGGCCAGGCTGGGGGATGCAGGTGGGGCACTGGCCTGGTGCCAACTCCACGCCTCTGGCCTCTGCTTTCCCAGGCAGTCACTATTCTGTCCTAAGCACCTGGGAGGGGGCTCTTACCCTGACCCCACAGTAGCCTCACATTCTGGGGTGTGCTGTTTCTAATTTATCTCCCTGTGTCTTATGGCTGCTGTCTGGGTTCCAAGTCTCAGAACACCGTGGAAACCACAACTCCTGCCAGTCCCGAAGGTTTTGTCCCTGGGCAGAGGGAGACAGGGTCCTCAGGCTCCTGGCAGGTGTCCCCAGGGAGGGTGAGGAATGCCCCCCACACCAGCTGGGGCCCTGCTGGGCTTGTCCTGTCCTCCTCCCTCTGTCCCTCAGTTGGCCAGACAGTCAGTCTGGAAGTTGGAGGAGGATGCTTCTGGCTCCTTGGAGAGGAAAGAAGGTAGAAGTTGCTGGGAAGCTTGGCATTAGGAGTTTGCCTGAGCCCAGGCTTCACCTCTTCGAAGCCCACTGTGGCATCCAGGAGCCTTTATCTAGATTATCCTGCCTGCCCACCCTCCCTGCCCCTACACTCACCCAGTCCCAGGGCTCTCGTGGCCTCAAGGACCAGATTCCAACTGAGGCCCAAGGGCCTAGTTGGAGAAGAAGAGGTGAGCTAGAGCTGGGGTAGGGAAGAAGAGAAGGGGTATGAAGGCTCGGCTACCGGGGCAGCCTCTGGCAAATTTGGTCCCAGCAAGAGATCAAACTTGTAACCCTCCCTAACCACTGCTGATGGAAATTTGGGGGTTCCCATGGAAATGGGAGGGGCTGTGTTGGGGAAGGCAGGTCGGGACTTGAGTCTTCTGGGCTGTTCCTGAAGCTAAAAGACCTCTTTAGTCCACACCAAGGCCCATAGACCCACGTGGGGCTCACTAGGGTTCTCCAGGCTTTGGGCATCAGGAGAGGGGCAGCCCTGTTCCCCGATGTCACCCACTTTCCCAGAACTCTCAAGTCCAGGGCTGAGACGTTCCCATCTCCAGCCGCCACCTCTAGGTGATGGAACCTTATCAGAGCAGCTTCTGTTCCCCTGCTGTCTTGGGCTCCATGCTGGCCCTTCTCCCATAGTTCCTACACCTTCCTGTGCAGTGGGCAAAGGAGCCATCAGGTCCAGGGTAGGGGAACTTGCCCTTGGCCACCTCACTTGTGAGTAGGGGGCTGGGTCTGCACTACCACCCCGTAGACTCTGAGCCTCCGCCCCTGCCCCTGCAGAGCAGGTATGATGAGGAGATCGAGGTGTACCGGCACCACCTGGAGCAGATGTACAAGCTGTGCCGGCCCTGCCAGGCAGCTGTGGAGTACTACATCAAGCACCAGAACCGCCAGCTGCGTGCCCTGCTGCTCAGCCACCAGTTCAGGCGCCGGGAGGCCGACCAGTCCTGCATGCAGGTCGGTCGCAGGATGTTGCAGGGCACACGGGGTCATCGCAGTCATTGGGTTGGTGCAGAAACCCCTTTCTGAAGGGCCAAGCCCACAGGGGCTATAGGTCTGCGCTTTGGAGCTGAGGTTCTTTTCCCTGGGGAAGCAACCTTCTCAGGGGGACTCATTCCTAGCCAGGCCCCTAGCCCCTTTGTGCCATCAGCTCACATGGGTGTCTGCAGGAGAGTGACAGCTGACCTCAGTGATGTGTTCATGATTTGCATCCCTCAGCATAGATGGCAGATTGCCTGCTGTATCTGAGCACATCCCTGCATTTCTGCATGCATTCCTCATGGTGGTCCTGCCCTACACTCTTAGGCCTGTGACCCTACTCACAGCTGCGCAAACCCAACTCAAGGGGGCTGAATAACATGCCTAGGACGCCTCCCCTAGTGTGCAGCAGAACTGGAAGTCAGGCCCACAGCTGTCTGGCTAAAACCTATTAAGATTTTTTTTTATTATGGTAGTCCATTACTGCCCATAGTTAATGGAGTACAATAGCGTCAAAAAAAAAAAAAAAAAAGAAGGATGGGCTCAAATGTAGCAAGGATTGTGAGGATGGTGCATGACCAAGCAGTGTTTCATTCCATCATACATCGGGCTGTGAGTTGGAGCTGACTCAACAGCACCTAACAACAACAACAACTCCATCACTAATGGAGTACTCTGATAATTTTTTTAAAATCAGGTATAGTAGCAAGTGGGGTTCAAAGGGAAAAGCACCCCACACACACCCAAAGAAACTGCAAACCCTCACCCCACCCCACCCACCCCTAGTACCAGCTGAGCTGTGTTACCAGTTGAGCTGTGGTTTCTGTCCACGTGGCTGTGGCTATGTCACCACAGCAGTCATGCATTTGCACAGCAGAAAACAAGGCACACTCTGGCTTCTGGATTTTCGTGGTTCTTTGACTTATAGGACTCCCTTAGCTTGGCTACTGCATGTTGTGTTTTTCAGTTTCATCTTTGCCAGTGCTATCTGTACATTTTTTCGAAATTCTAGTTAATGTCACAAAATTTTTGGTACCAGAATGTCTGATAATTCCTTTTGGGAGAACAAGGTTACTGTGACACGGAAGATTTCTCTAGGGTGGTGCTCTTCCACTCAGCAGCTTTCATGGGGATGTGGAGGCCCAGAAATGAGGCAAGTCTGTGGAACAGGAGGTGACAGCTAGACTAAGCTGAGAACACGCAGGAGGGGAGCTCAAGGCCTGGTGATCTCTGATCGCCAGGAGGCAGGTGGCTCAGCGAGCAGTGCAGCCCTTGCCAGCCTCCACACAAGACCCCAGCATCCTGAATCCAGGCCCAGAGAGGGTGGCAGGCGGGACAGTGGAGAGGTATGGCTGTCATTGCTGACCAGTCACCCTTTCCCGCTCTCTAGAGCTTCTGCTCCTCGGCGGTGAAGGCCCCGGTGCAAGTCATCGTGCTCCGTGCCCTCGCATTCCTGGCCTGTGCCTTCCTGCTGACCACCGCCCTCTACAGTGCAGGCGACCCCTTCGCCCCAGGGGCCGCCCTGCCCCCTGCCCTGCCACCTGGGGGCAATGGCTCAACCATGCCTGACAATGGCACCGCCCCCGGGGGTGACGGCTGGCGGCAGCTGCTGGGCCTGCTGCCGGAGCCCACGGTGGAGAAGCTGCGGGAAGCCTGGGCCTTTGGGCAGAGCCACCAGATGAGCGTTGTGGTGCTCGGCCTGCTCACCTGCCTGCTGGCCATGCTTCTGGCAGGGCGCCTCAGGTGGGTGTGTGGGGCCGGTGGGGCGTGCAGGGCAACAAGTTGGGGTTTATGCCCTGGATCACTATCTTGAGACAGTACTCTGGAAAGGAAGGCTCTCAGGACAAGAGTCCAGGTCTGCTGGCCAGCTCAGTGCATTGATCCTGGGCAGAATTCAAGTGTAGCTGCCACAAGACGTAGTCCCTGTTCTCCAGGGGGCTGAGAGTCTGGTGGTGAGATGGACAAGGCAGTGGCCTTCAGAGATAGCCCCCCATACACCCCGTTATGTGTTAGGGCCGAAAGCACCTCATCTGTGAAATCATGGTGACAGTGACAATCTACCTTGCGAGGGGGGCAGCCTAAGCAGCAGCAGGTCCCAAACCAAGGTCTGTGTCCACGTCATCTCCGTCCTTGAGGTGACTGGAGGAGATCTCCTTATCCCCATCCTACAGGTTATAACACTGAGGCAAAGGAGAAACCCTCTAGCCTGCTCAGAGGAGGGATTCCAAGGCCCATGTTCTCTCTTGGCTGTGGGATCTGTCCTGGGGTGGGGGTGGGGCAGGCCTGTGGGGCTTGGGGTGAAGGAGGCAGGAAGGGCTGCGATGGGGGGGGAGGACCTAGGTCTGCTCAGCAGGCACTCACTCTGTCCCCAATGTCCCCACAGGCTCCGAAGGATCGATGCCTTTGCCTCCTGCCTGTGGGCTCTGCTGCTGGGGCTGCACCTAGCTGAGCAGTACCTTCAGGCTGCCTCGCCCAGCTGGCTGGACACACTCAAGTTCAGCATCACGTCCCTGTGCTGCCTGGTGGGCTTCACGGCAGCCGTGGCCACGAGGAAGGCAACAGGCCCACGGAGGGTCCGGCCCCGAAGGTCAGAGAAGCAGCAGTGACTGTGGGGGGAGGACAGACGGATGGACAGGCCTCGAGCTTTGCTCCCCAGCCCAGAGTAGGGCCTCTCTCTTTCTTTCTCTCTCTCTCTCTCTCTCTCTCTGTCTCCGTCTCCCTCTCTTCCCCCTTTCCCGCCTGCCTCACTCCTCCCTCACCCAGCCTAGAGCCCAGGTCTACCCCAGCCATGGCACTTGCCTGATGAACCAGACCTGCCCCTTTTTCCTTCCTGTCAGCACCAAGCCATCTGCCACATCCCCCCTGACCTAAGGCACTCCCCAAGTGCCTCTAGGTGCTCTTACTGTGGCCATCTCTCTGGCCAAAGACCCTCTAACTGTCTCTTCTGGGGACAAGCCTGCCTCTGACCTGGGGCTTCTTGCTGGCAGCTCCAGGCCCCCGCCCTCACCTGAGCCCTCTCCTGCCTCTGACACCACTGGCTGAGGGTGCAGCCCTGCTCTGCTCTTCCCTCTCACTTTGCCCCATCTCTGAAGCCTTGGGCACATGCAGGCTGAGCCCTCGCCACATGGCCTGACCACTTGGGCTGCTTGGCACAGGCAGGCAGAGTAGCGGAGACCAGGGCAGGGCCCTCACATATTTGTCCCCATGTGGACCCTCTCATCTGGACCATCCCCTTGGTTCTCCTTGTTACTGGACCAACCCTGCTAAGCCCAGTAGGGCTGGAAGGGTGAGCTAGTTCCTCTAGAGCTGCCCTCAGCCCCTTGTTCTCAGACCTTCCTGGGGCCAGCTGTCCTCAACAGACAGGCAGTGGGAAGTCCTGCTTCTCGTGGCCAGCAGGTGTTGTCTTTGCAACCAGGCTGTGGTGGGAGTGGTCCCAGGTCAGGGAAGAATTCAGTCTTTTTCTTAGTTGTCTGGCTCTACTGTGGGCCAGACAGACAATACTGGGCATTCAGTGCCCCTGGGAAGCCCTGATTCTCCCCGCCCAGCTGGTCTTTCCACACTCTTCCCACTGGACCAGGCTGGGGCTTCCTGCTTCAAGGCTGCCCCTGGCTGCCAGGTCATATACCAACCCCCACCTCCCCCACCTGGGATGTCCCCAGTTTCCTCCATTCACCCCATATGATGCCTAGAACTAAGGTGTAGGGGCTCAGTCTGCCCAAGGGGCACACCAGCCCACAATGATGCCAGGCTGTTTCTCTTGTCTCTCTGGCCTGTCACCACCCCCCACCTGTCCTGGCATCCACTCATGCATGTAGCTGCTCTCCACCTCCACAGCTTGGCAGCTGCAGACCCTATTCAACCTCGCTCTGTCCGAGCCCAGTGCCTCCCCTCCTTGAGTCGGATGGGAAGAGGGCCTGAGGGCTGACTCAAAGTCCCTAAAAGACTGGCCCAAGGAGTCAGCCACCCCATGGAAAGGAGCAGTGTGTAGCCTCAGCCATGTTTCAGGCACAGACCTGCCACTTTGCAGCTGTGTAGTCTTGGCTTGATCCTTCCTGTTCCCAGCCTCAGTTTACCCTCTGCAAGTTGAAAGCAAACCCCTCTCCAGGATCCTTGGAGTGCAACCTCAGCTACTCTCTGCCCCTTCTTCCTTGCCTGCTATCCCTGCCTCTGTCTTTCATCTGGGCCCTGCTGGTGTCAATTCGTCCCAGCTGTGGTCCCCTGTCCCTATCCCCTAGAGCAGGCCCCAGGGTAAGAACTAGGAGAACTGGATCCTGGGGCCCACTATGTACAGATTCGTATCATAGCCCCAGGCAGCTCAAACGTGGGACCTCTTGGGGCTGTGCTTTGGTGCCAAATGACCGGCTTCCTCTCACAAGCTCTGGTGAGGGTCACAAGAACCGGTGCATGTGGGTGCCCACTGAGAACTGGAACACCGTCCCATGCAGAGGCTATACCCAGCTGAGGACTGCATCCCAGAGGGTCACATTGGGAAGGTGGATCGTGGCTGTCCCCTCCTTGGTGCAGCACTCTCTGGTGACCCCAGGTGGGCTGCGTGCTCCCTGCCAGGGCCAAACATCACTGAGCTTAAGCTCCCTTTTAGAAGGTATGAGTAGGCTGTGCCAGCCCTTCCATTCTGTGCCCGGGGGACATGGAGGGCAAACAGATGACAAGGGCATGAGGGTCACATTTAGCCACAGGGCCACCAGCTAGCTGGCCTGAGGGGCCAGTTGGTGTGAGCACTCTCAAACTTACCGTGTGCCCGGTTGCTCCTGCATGGTACCCTGCAGAGGGGGTGCGTATGGTGTACGAGCCTCACTGTTCTGAGTCTTTTACATCCAAGGGTATCCCGACAAGCTGCCCTATCCCAAGCAGCCGATGGCAGCCTACACTCCTTGGCATCTGCCCATGTGTAATGAGACCTTCTAGGGCCTTCCATGATGCTCCTGCCCCTGCCTGTGACCTCAAGCAAGGCCTCAACCTTGCTGGCCAACTTGTTTCCTGCTGCCCTCATGGTGTGGAGGGAGGTGAAAACCACTGTGGAGAGACCTAAAGGGGACTTTGTTTCCAATGGCACAGCTCAGCAGGGGAAGAGCCGGGAGTCCCACGTGTGGGCCAGAAGTCACCATGGTAGTCTTTCAGAGGGGGAAGGAACCACCTGCCTGTGTCCCGCCCTCCTTGCCCCAACTCAAGACCCATCAAAGAGAAGAGGAGTCAGTAGTTTCAGAGTGGGTCCCATTGACTCTGCATCCCTTTCCCTGTATCCCAGGATCTATTCGGGGAAGCTGACAGTGAGATGCTAATTACTGCATTGCTTGGCATTGGGTAGAAGCAGGACATCTGTGTGTATGTGTGTATTTAAATTAAATTATTTATAATAACCATAACTAGCTCTCTTCCTGGCCGGGAGCCCCCTGCTAGGCAGACGTCTTTGCTGCCCTCTAGCGGAGTATGGAAAAGCAGACTGCCTAGGGAGAGGAGCCTCTTCAGAAGAAGGGTTCCCAGCCTTTTTAAAGTTTTGTGTGACTTTTTAAATTACTCAACTGTCCCTTAAGTTTCATTACTTGGAGACTATTCCAGCCCCCTTTTGACGCTGTTGGCAACGGCGGAAGAAGTGCTGGCATCCCTGGGGTTGTGGCTTGTTACTACGAGTGTGTCATCTTTGGGAACGTGTCCTGTCCCATCCCCTACCCGCTACAACTGGGGACAAACATCAGAATATCCCAGGTCAGAGGTGGGATTATCCAGTGGTACATCTGGCTGGTTTGGCCCTCCTGGTCCGCCCTCGTTCCTACGAGCTACCGGAGAAGGCTCCTGCAGTTACACTGGCCCAGGAACAGACCGCCAGGACTCGTCCTGCGGCCCCAGGCCCCCCGCCCTGTCTTTTCTGACTGTTGAGTCACTGTCTCTGTGTCGTAGATTGTGGAGAATTGTCTAGTGCTCTCTAATCACTGTAAACACCGCTCCTGGCCACAGATGTGTGTGTTGATGCTGTGTTTTCAATAAATGCCTCCCGGGCCCGCTCTATACCGGTTTGGCTTCAGGTTCCATGTCTTTTTTGTTTATTCTTTCGTGTTCTTCTAGAAATGCTTCTGTGCCTGGGAAGGTGGGGGGAGGTTGGGGTTTGGGTATAGGCATGTCCATGGGAATCCAGGCTGGCGGTCAAATTTGGAGCTGGGCTTTGGGCTCTGGGCCCAGCCCTGTCGCCTGCCTTGCTGGGTCACAATGAATGGCTGTTGAAAACCTTGTCATCTGTCCTTCCACCCTCAACCAGGGCTGTTTGGTTGGAGAAGACTGACCACCTCCCTCAAGGTTGAGTCTGAGTAGAATAGGCCTGACCCCCTCCCAAGGTGGGTGTGAAGGTTTGGGTTTGGGCTCACAGCCCCTCTCTGAGACCTGGTTTGTGGGTGCAGGGCAGTCGAGGGGAGGCTCTCACCACTTGGAACTCCAGTGCTTTTGGAAGCTTTAAGGAGCATCCTTTGGGCTCCTTGAACTGGAGAGGGCACCCTCCAGGGTCCGTCTTGGGCTCACACAGCTGCTTCTGAACCCACTTCCAAAGCAGTGTCCTCCAGCAGTACGGTTGTGATGAGAGCTCACACGTGGCGCCTTATAAGGATTAACTGGTTGAGTGATATTACTTTTTAAAGTATCACAGCAAGAAGGGTCAGACCTCCAAGAACTTTCCCATCCAGTGCCGACGTAGCTAGTGACGTCAGAGACGTACATTTGCCAAGTGGATGAGAGACTCAAGTGTTATCACTGGGCAGCCCCAGGTGTGAGCAGGATTTGGGAAAAGCAGGAAAGAGCTGGCAAGACCCAGCTATTCTTGGAGCCAGCCTGTGGGGCCCCAGGTGGCCCCTCTGAGGCCCAGACCGCCTGCCCTGTCTGTGCACTGCCCCATGGCAGTCGGACACAGGAAGCCCAGTACAGGGTCCTGCTACCATCTGCTGTGAGTGCCTGGGCATGCAAGCCTGCAGGAGGTCCCCAGCATCCTGTTGTCCTCACTGCTCTTCCGTGACAGGCTCCAGAGAAGGAGACGGGCACCCACTCTCCTACGAAGGCTCACACATTATGGAGCCACTCGTCTCCAGGCTCCAGCCTGCCTTGGCTGCTCCTACAGGTGCCTGGAATTATCTTCCGGCTGCTCGTCGAGGCCATGGGTGCTGTCCTGCTTAATGGTGTCATACATCTAAAATGGCAATGCAGATTGTATTCCTACTTAGAGGTGGAATGTCCCCGATGTCCCTTGAGGGCAGGGAGGTGGGGATCAGGCAGGCTTGGGAGGAGGGTCGGGGGTTAGAGCAGACATGGCCAACCTGGGCCTGTGTAGAAATAACCAGGTGAGAACTCTAGCCTTGATATCACCATGTTCCCCAGACACTGGGCCTTGTTTGGTTCTGAAGCCCAGGTGCTTTGGAAGCCATTGGAAAGGTCACGTGATTCTCTAGGATGTCACCAGCTAACCCCACACTTTCCCTATAAAATGTTTTTAAAAGGCAAGGAGGTGGAAATAGCTTGAGGAATCAGTGGGACTCGAACTTTAGCTTGGCTAGTGATGCCCTGAGCAGTGGGTCAGGACACATGCCAGGGGCCTTAGCCAGCCACCAGCCTGCAGGAAGGCCCAAGCTAGCCTGCCCGCTTGGTGGCAGATGTCAGTGGGCTCGCTTATCCCTGGGGACCGAGGTAAGGCTGGGCTTCCCGCCAGATGGTAGACTAATGTATTAACTGCCCCCTCCCTCTCTCTCCCTCTGTAATTGGTTGCCTTAATCAGAAGCATGGTTGACCTTCTGGCTTGGGGCCCTCAGGTCCTGTTGTGTGATTTGTTCTCTTCTCAAGTTAAAGAGACACTGTCACCTTCTGTCTGTCAGGCAGCATTTGCGGGCAGTTGACGGGGCTTCCCTAAGCTTTGAGTTTGTTTTGTGGCCTGGCAGTCGGGTCTGTGACAGCTTCGTTCCAGGACAAGGCTAAAGAAAACAGTTTCCAGTGTCCAAGAGTGGGAGGCAGCCCCCCACAGCAGTGCTACCGTGGGGCTCAGAAGGACTTGGAAGAATCAGGCCCTGGGGAGCGGAGGGCACCTAGGTTGCTGTCTGGCTTTTGGAATCCCTGCTGCAGCCTTGCTCCCCTGGTCTGAACTCATGTGCTCTGTCGGAAGCTGAGGCTGCCGTGAGGCGCTCAGCATGGAACAGGAAGTGGCAAGGACAGGGCCAAGCCCAGTAGTAACCTTGATGGAATGTCTCGTTCAGGGCTGGGCAAAGGAGTGGTGTGAGGTTGGCAAGGGCGACAGTGTCACTTTAATGCCGAGACCCGTAGTGGAACTAGTTTGCTGTGAGCCTGAGTGGGGTCTGAGGGGCATGCTGGGAGGGGTGGGTCATGCTGGCACCTCCCAGCCACCCGCTCCTAATGGCATAAATGTGGTGGGACTGCTTTTCCGCTTTAACTAACGCACGCCACCTCTGAGGACCCCAACTCAGACCCGCCTGGCACAGTGGGGTGGGACTTGGAGCAGCTGTGCAGAGGCCACCTGGGCTGACCCTCTCCCTTCTCCCGGGCCCACCGGGCTCATGCAGGTACTTCCCAGGAGACCCTGCCGGCCTCTTCCCCACCATTCCCAGCCCGGCCATACCCTGCCCAGGAGTTGGAGGTGCCTCGCCTGGTCTGCTCATCCCCACCCCGCCTGGCTTCCTGCCCCTCGCCAACCAGCAGCTGTTTCGGTCACCCCGACGGGCCTCTCCCTCCTCCTTGCCAGGCCGCCTCCACCGGGCCCTCTCACTGGGAACCATGCCCTCTCTGACCCGAGCAGGTAAGAGGCACAGATGTTGGGCACAGGGTCTCTGGGGAACAGGGGTGGGAGGTCATGCAGGGGAGCAGGTGGGGCTCCTGCTATTGAGACAGAACTGGGCCTGAGTCCTGGAGCATCCGTGCGCAGCTGGCAGCATCTTCACCTCTCTGAGCCTATTGCCCCTCAAAAAAACAGGCCTGGTAGAGGAAGCTACCTTGGGTGGTTGTAAGGGTTCAGTGAGATGATGTGTTTAAGGACAGAGGAGGCGCCAGCTATGATAGGTGCTGAGTGAATGTGCGTGGTGGTTCGGGTTTGTCTTTCACTATTGTTCTCACCATTATTATATCACTGTTAGGATTGAGATGCTGGGGGCTGGCGCCTTCTGGTGAAATCCAGAAGGTCAGGGACTTAGTTCAAGTCACTAGTCAGCATACTGAGCACTTCTGCCAGTGGACCCAAGGGCAATGAAGACCTGGTCCCTGTCGTCAGGAAAGTCTAGCCACAGGGGAGGTCCTGTCTCCTCCCTCACCTTTCCCAACAGGATCCCTGGGCAGTTGGCTGGAAATCAGACCTAATTTTAAACATACTCCAGGGCCTATGAGTGTTTTGTGGCTGAGCCCTTGCCACCTTTGGGAAGCCCTCTGGTGTGGACTGGCTTTGCCTCCCTTCCTGGGTGCTGTGCTCCCTGGGTGCCAGGCCTAGTGCTGGGGGGCTACAAGCTGGGATCCCACCCTTAGATCCCGGGTGGGAGCTTGGTCAAACCAGGAGGAAGAGGATTCTTGCAGGACTCTGATTGGCCCTGCTTGGGTCACATGACCACCCTTAGCCTTTCATGTGGGATGGCCTGGTGGGGGGGGCAAGCAGTATGCTGTGGCCTCAGGCCCTCTAGCCCAATGGGTGGAGGGGGGCAGCTGACTGCCCACGCAGGGCTTAGGGCAGTCACCTGCTCTTTCTTCATTTCTTAGCTGACACTTGGGGAACATGACACCGAAAAGATAAAGAGTCGTGGTGCTTGGGGTGCACTTGATTCAAAAAAGGGCATTGTGTTCCATAAGTCCTGAGAGGCTGCGCAAGTGGTGAGGGGCTAGAGTTAGTGGAGAAGCTGGAACTCAAGATAGCTGGAAAGCCAGGTCTGGAGGAGAGAGAAGGACACAGAACATGGAATCAGAGGACTTGAGTCCAAGCCCAAGTCATCGCTGAGAACTGCCCTGAGTTTTTGTTTCTTTCGCAACAAAAATGCAAGTGATCGTTTGGGCCCAGCCCACCTCAAAGGTGGTTTCAGAATCCATCAGAACCTGAGTTCTCATTAAAGCAGTGTGAGTGACAGGTTGGACTTAGGACCATCTAGCGGCTGGCGGGAGTGAGTGGGGGGCACGCTGTACGCAGGCTGACCTGCTCTCCACTCTTCCTCTGCTCCAGACTCAGGTTATCTGTTCAGTGGGAGCCGCCCACCCTCCCAGGTGTCTCCATCAGAAGTTCTTGTGCCAGGTAAGAACTGAGAGCTAAGAAGGGGATGCTGCTCCAGGTGTGGGCAGTGTTACCAGGACCGGTGGGACATGGAGCAGTTAGCACATGTTCTAGGGTCAGACAGCTTCGTAACTGAACCCCAGCCTGACACCCCTAGCTGCACATCCCTGAACAATTGACTCATCCCTCTGTGCCTCAGTTTCCTCTTCAGGGAAATGGGGCTGATGGTTATTAGGATTAGATGACATCAAGCACATGTAGTCAGTGCTTGCCATCGTACTGGGGACTCCAGTGGAGGTGCTGCTCTCGGGCCAGCTGTTAGTGGGGGCTTGGGTTAAATGACCCTGTATCTCCAAAGGGTAGGCCTGCAGCCCAGGGGAGATCAGGGGTTTGGACAGAAACAGAGGACAGGGGAACATGGTTGAGGCTCTGTGAGTCTGCCCTTCATCCTGGCTTCCGGCAGACACCCTTCTGCCCCCCAGTTACCCTACAATATTTTCTTGGGTTAATATACAGAAGCACCAGGGACAAATAGCATACAGTGAATATTACTGCAACAGTAGCAAACAAGCTTTATTACTGTCATGGTTTGTTTCATCCCCCTTCCCCGCAGACTACTTCTCTCTACTGTCTGGAAGCTGCCCCTCCTCCCCGCTCCCCTCCCCAGCGCCCTCTGTGGCCGGCTCCATGGCCTCTAGCTCTGGCTCCCTGCGCCACCGCAGACCCCTCATCAGCCCCGCCCGGCTCAACCTGAAGGGCCAGAAATTGCTGCTGTTCCCGTCATCCCCTGGGGAGACTCCGAACATGCCCAGCAGCTCAGATGAGCCCTCCCCCCATGATGGCAGCCTCTTCACCATTGAGTCGCCCCAGGTCCCCCGAAGGCCACTCCCACGGGACACCAAGCACACCATGGGTATGACTTGGCCGGGTCCTGTGGACCAGGGGCCAAAAGGGATGGTCGAGGGGTGGTGTGGGATGGAGACCTTGAGGCCTGGCCTTGGTGACACATTTCGTCTGTATGACCTGGGCTCCTCAAGGAGGTGACACACACAGTGGGGCCTCCCAGGGCTGCCCTTGCTCCTATCCACGTGTGTACAGTTACTCTCTCAGCCCCAGACAGCCCAGGTTGGAGGCCTTGGACCCTCTACAACACTGCCCTCTGCTGGCCAATCATCTCTTCTTTGTGGTTGGCCTTGGGGTCCTCTGCCTCTCAGGATGGCTCTAAAACAGGTCACACACTGCCAGTCTGTATCGGGGCACAGACTTGTTTTGCTCAGTGTTGTTTTTCACAGCATTTTGAAACTTTTTATTGAGGTTCTAATATTTAAGATCTAGAAATTGTACATGAATGTTTGGTCACCTTGTGTCACTTATAATGTCAGAAGATCTGGCCTCCTTGGGCCTGAAGCCTGGTCACAGGCAAGACATCTTCTCTAGTGGAGTCCGAGTTCCCCCCACTGCCCCACTGACCAACCACTGCTCAAGGCCCACCGTGGGCACTGGAGATTGCCATCCTGATCTTAAACTACCTGCCCTGAAGGAGGGACTGGCCTCCCACTGCCTACGGGAACAGGTGGGGACTGGCACTGGCTGCCATTCCCAAGGCCTGTGTCCTGGCTGAGAGGTGGACCTGCCCCATGTCTGTCCCAGGGGCCAACTGTGAGCACCCACTGTGCCGTCTCTTCTCTCTACAGACATGGGAGCAATGCCAGAAAGAGGCCGTGCCTGTAGCAGCCGCTCCATCAAAAAGGAAGATGACTCGTCCCAGTCGTCCACCTGTGTGGTGGACACCACCACCAGAGCTGGCTCCGAGGAGACTGCTACCTGGAAAGGTTCGTATCCTGATGGGCGGGGCAGGGCAGGTGGGGGAGGCTGCTGCCTAGAGAGGGTCATGTCCCAGTGGGGGGTGAGGAGGATGCCACTCCCTGTAGAGGTTCACATCCCAGTGGGCACAGGTGGGACACTGCCTGGAGAGGTCCACACCCTGAAACAGCAAGGAGGGTGGAAGGGGTTTCAGGTGCTAACCACCTCCTCAGGCAGCTGACCACCCAGCAAACGGCAGTCCCCTGCAGGAGGGTTAGGACATAGACCTGCCATCACAGCAGCCTCTACCCACAGGTGGCTATTTAAATATATATTTGTTAAAATTGAATGAAAACCAAAAGTCCACTTCCTCTGCCGCCGTTGCCACGTTTCAGATGCTCCTGAGCTGCATGGGCTGGTCGCCGCGTGCTGGAGCAGCAGATGTGAAGCTCTCTTTCTCCTTTCAGACCGTGCTGGTCCGTAGAGTGTGGCGCAGAGGCCAGCGGTGTGGCTGGGGACCTTGTAGCCTGGTTTCAAACCGTGACGACCTGGGCAGGGGTTGAGCTCAGATCAGCAGTTCTGACAGAGCCCGCGGCACGTTCTCAGCTCTCGACAGGCTCGCCTGCCAGCCTGTTGGTCTCCCCTGGGAGAAGCCTAGGTGCCGGCCAAGGTGGTGCAGCAGCAGAGGCGCGTCCCTGAAAGGGGTCATTTTAAGCTGAGCCTGAAAGTTGGCAGCTCCATAGCAGGTTGGAAGTGGGCTATGGCCAGCAGGTGACACAGGCTGGGGCCAGTTAGCCTCGGTCCGTGAGCATGGCCTTGGAGGCAGGGCAGTCACTCATCTCCTGAACCCCAGGCACCTCATCTGCACGTGTGGGGGTCACAGCCCCCCTCACTGCTGAGGCTCAAGCTTGAGGATCCTAGCCCAGCACCCATGCAGTGGTTCAGCCTAGAGAAAGGCTGTGTCTCTGGGGAAGTGACACTTCAAAAGGGAACCATGGGTAAGCCCGGGTGGCCTTTCCAGGTGAGGCAACCTCTGGGTCAGGTAGTGACATGGGGGTGAGGTGTCACCTACCTGGGAAGGTACCCTCACAGCCCCAGGAGCTGTTTTTCACAGGTGAGCATGTGCACTTAGCCAGTAGACACCCCACCCACATGTCGCCCCTGATCTTTGCACCCTTGACTGGGTCTGTCTGCTCTTGCAGGTCGTTTCAGCCCCTCCCTGGTCCGTGGCCTTCTGACTGTGAGCTTGGCTGCCAATGCCCTCTTCACCTCAGCCTACCTGTACCAGAGCCTGCGTTGACCAGCAGCCCAGCCACCTCTACCACTACCCATGGCCACCTGGGGCCAGAGTGGTCGGCGGCTGAGCCTCAGAAGTCCCCCAGAGCAGCCACCACTGCCTCTGCCTGCCTCTGGAAGGCCCATGACCTCGTGGTCACGGAGGACAAGAGTGCAGGAAGCGGCCTGCACAGTGGGACCCTTTCCTGCCTTAGGCTGCCCCCTTCTCACCCGACCATCTGAGGCCGGGAGGAGCATCTGTGAGCCACAGCCCTCACGTGCTGACTTCAGGGCTGATGTCGAGAGTGTGTTTGGTGCTGACACTCTGATCCCAGGACCCTCAAGGGACTGCCCGGCCCTGGGTCCCCTCCCCCCGCCATCCAGCCCAGCCTGGCAGGAGGCCAGTACTACTGTACTTGGAGAGGAGCCAAGGGGGGCCACCACTCTCCTCCATCCAAGGCCATGGTCAGGTCCTGGTACTATACCCACCTCAGGGTGCCTCAGAGCCCACTAATCTGAAGGCCAGGTGAGGGGGGCATAGTTCTCCTGTCACCATGCCCACTTCCCAAGGACCCATCCTAGGACAAGCCCCTTGAGGATATTTTCCTGCCCCTTCCTGCCCCCTGGCTGGGGCTTCTCAGAGTTGGGTCTCAGCACCCAAGTGCCCCACTAGGGCCAGTGTAAGCACCTGCCCACTCTCTCCTGCCCCCTCCGTTCTGGTGACATTCCCAGGAAGCCACCCCCATCAGTCACAAGTGCATGGGGCCTGTAGCCTACCCCACCCCACCCCACCCCCCGTTATTCTCTTGCTAGACTCTTCAACCTGCATTGGGTGGTGCATCAGGCCTGGGCTCCTGCCTGTCGAGGATACTCACCCACCATGCACTGGGAGCCCAGGCCACCTAGACTGGCTTGCTTTCCTACCCCACTGCCCTTGGCTTCCACCACTGACCTTGTGACTGATACTGCAGGGGTGCTGGGCCCCACACACACTCACTCTCTCATGTCAGGGATGGTGTCCCCTGCTGGCCTCAGAAAGGAAGAAGGCTGGGCCTCAGCCTGGCACTGGGACCCTCGCAATGCTGTGAGGAGGGAGGGACTGTGTTCCGTGGGTGTCAGAGCTGCCTTTCCTCATGGCCCTGGGCCTTAAATGTGGGTGCAGGCTGGTAGGTATATGTGCACGTGTCTCCCACGTGGATAGAGCCAGGCGGGCCTCGGTGACTCCTGGAGCTTGTTGAGGAGGGTCTTAGGGCAGGAGGAAGGGCCTTCACTCTCATTCAGGGATAAAGGTTCATTTTATTTTTGTACACATTTTTGCAGGAAGGGCATTCTGCTAATCAGCAGACGCCAGGTCTCCCTGCCAGGGAGGTTGCATTTTTTTTAAGCTTTGGGTGCTTTTTTAACTTTTTTTAACGGGTAGGGAAAGAGACTGCTCAGACTTCACCCTCCCTCCTCTCTCCCCACTCCCCTCCCAGAGCTGCTGAGCGTGGGGAGGGGGTGTAGCAGGCCTGAGTCCAGCTGTAGAAGACAGTGCCACTCAGAGGTGGGGCCTCAACCCCCATTTGTGTGGTGGGCGTACGTGTCGAGTTTTTACGTTTCAGTTTTGCTCAACAAAAGCCAAACTCCATTCCCAGTGACCTTCCTCTGTGGCTCTGGGACATGCCCAGTGATGACTCCTGCCTGGGACACCTGGTCCTGCACTTAGTGCCCTGCAGGGGGAGCATGAGCTGGTGAGGGAGGTTTACTTACGTTTTGTTTCAGACAAAAAAAAAACATACCTTATTTTTCTTTACAAAAGCAAAAGAAACCAAAAAAGATACCAACCTTTGAAATGCACCTGGGTCTGTCTGGTCGTTCTTGTTTCTTGTGCTGCTCTGGCCCCAGAGAAGGCCCCGAGCCCAGGTGGAGGTGAGCCCAGCAGAGAGGGTGGGACTCCATCCCTGTGTCTGCTGGCTGCAGAGCCCAGGTCACTCTTGGGCTCATTATGTGGGTGGGGGATGGGTGGGCAGTGCAGGCCTGGAGGGGGCTGGGGTGCAACTGGAGGAGCTGAGCAGCCGGGAGTAGGAATGAGGACCAGGAGCTTGCTTGAGCAGGGAGGGAGGGGAAGGGCGCTACGGACTGGAGTCACCAGCCAGGCACACTCGGCTTATCCCCTCAGAAAAGTTCACCTCCCCTGGTCACGCTGATTGTCCTGGGCTGTAGGAGGGTCATCTATAGGCAGGACAGAGGCCAAGTCTTCGCTGAGCTCACTTCGACCCCCTATCACCCTGCCAGCCACTGAATGCCAGCACCTGCAGGTGCAGAGCTGGCCATGGCACACTTTAACTGCTATGCCATCAAAGCTCCTTTCTCACTTCAGGAGGCTAAAAGTCTGAGTTCAGAGTGCTGCCTCTAGAGGAAGGCTCTGTCTGTTGCCTCTGGGGGAAGGTCCTTGTCTCTTCTGTTCCACCCTTGCCCTGCCAACCCCACCCCAAGGCCACAAGGCCTGGCTTTGTGGAGTGCAGTCAGTCATAGAGCTCCTGTACGCCTCCATGGCACCTGCACTGGGGGGGTGGGTAAGCTGGGCATGTAGGTTGCCAAGTGGGAGGTACACTGACGGTGAGCGCCAGTAGGGAGCACTCTGGAAATATCCCACACCCTAGGCACCAGAAGCCTTCTCGGCCCCTACAGGCACAAGCTGGGGTGTCAGGTGGAACTGTGTCTATGAACCTCAGTTTAGCTCTGAAGTATTAGGGCACCATCCAGGCTGATGGGATCCAACTGGGGCAGTGGGCAGCGGGACCTCCCAGCAATGGCTTCTCAGAAGGACATGCCCATCTGAACTGGAACCCTCGGCAATCAGGAGGCAGACAGGTACTGTCAGGGAGCCAAGCCATAAGTTGGAGCCACAAACACACCCCAGAGGTCCCTGACATGATGTCCCTGGAGGCAAAGCATAACCAGCTGTCTCAGTCTCTTAATGCTGCTATAACAGAAATGACACAAGTGGATTTTCTCAGTATCCCACCACACCCACTGCCAGTCGATTCTCACTGACTTAGGGTCACTATAGTCAGGGTAGAGCTACCTCACAGAGTTTCCAAGGCTATAAATCTTTATGGAAGCAAACTGCCTTATGGCAGGTTGAACCACAGACCTTTTTGGTTAGGAGCCAAATGCTTTAACTGCTGTACCATCAGAGCTCCTTTCTCAGTTCAGGAGGCTAAAAGTCTGAGTTCAGAAGCCGCCTCTAGAAGAAGGCTGGCTGTTGGCTCTGGGGGAAGGTCCTTCAGTTCCATTTCTTGGTTCCTTGGAGATCTTGGGTGGCATGGCATCTGTCTTCCCCCATCTGTGTTTGCTTAATTGGCTCTTGGGTAGCTCAGAAGAGATTGATTTAAAGCACACCTTACACTGACTCCGTTTCATTAGCATAACAAAAGAAAACCCCGAGTGGGATTGTAACCACAGGTATAGGGGTCAGGATTTACATTTTTTAGGGGCACACAATTCAATCCATACCACCCACTTCTTGCTGTCTCTCCAACAACCCTGTGGACACAGGCCCCAAGCACTCGTCCATATTGGGTGTGAAAAACCCAGGCAGAAACAGGTCATTCCAACCCCTCACATCCACTGCCCCGAGAAAATCCAGGTGAGGGTGTGTGTGTGGGGGAAGGATTTAGGGTCCCAATTGTGTTGTTTCTGTGAGGGTAGTTTTCCTTTCTTAAGGATTCCTATATTTTCTTATTAAAGTTATCTTTGGCTTTTTTAGAAAAGGAAAGCATTAATTGTAGGAAAGCTAGAAATACAGGGAGAGAAAACCAATATCCAGTTCCACTAAAATATTGTTTGCCCCTTGTCCTTTTTTTTCCTATGTATATATGTACACATTCATTTTTATGAAAATAGGATCCTAACATAACATTTTGTAGCTGCATTTTCTTCACCTGACACTGTTGAACACATTTCCATGTCGTTGCATATACTTTCTCATCCCTTCCAGGACATGAATGGACCATCCCTCTTACCTCCCCCCCCCCCCCGCTGGGCCTCTAGAAAGCTGCCATCAGTTCTTTTCGTCATTGGTGAGGAGTTCTGATGGTGCCTTGGTTAAAGCGTTTGGCTGCCAAGTCCCTGGGTGGTGTGCCTGGTTCGCCACTGGGCCGCTAACCGAGAGCCAAGAAAGCAAGGAGTGAGTCAGGAGAGATGGCAGCCGGGACAGGACGGGACAGGGTGGCGAGAGGTGGAGGGGAGGAGGATCAGGTGGAGCTCTGGGTTTCCCACGTACATGACAGGCCAGGTGCGGTGTCCCTTCCTGACCTAGGGAGCCTGGGGGCGGTGCAGGAAGGCCAGAGCAGCTTGTACCTTGCTTTGAGCATTTGTACTGAAAGTGGATGGAGATACCTACATGCCCACAACTGGGAGCATCCTCCCCTGGTGCTGCCAGCAGGCCCTCTCAGCTGCAAGTCCATCCCCTTTTGAGAGGCCTTCTCCGAGGGGTACCCCACTGTTCACTCTCAACCCGCTGGTGCTCACTGCCATTCAATTACAGGCTGCAGTTTCACAGGAGGACCTCCTCCTTTGGAATGGAATTTCTACAGGAGCAGGGACCTGGGTACACAGTTAACCAAACTGGTTGCAGTAAAATTGATTCTGACTCATGGTGACTCCATGTGTGCTGAGTAAGCTGCTCCAGGGGATAAGCCGAGTGTGCCTGGAGGGTTTTCAAGGCTGTGTGACTTTTCAGAAGCAGAAAACCAGGTTGTGCTTCTGAGGCACTTCTGGTTGGGTTTGAACCACCAACCTTTTAGCTAATAGTCAAACACTTAACCACTTACATCACCCAGGGACTCTTGGAGGAACTCTAGTGGCATAGTGCCTAAGGCATTTGACTGCTAACCAGAAGGCTGGAGGTTCAAACCCACCAGCCCCTCCTTAGAAAGACGACTGGACAATCTTCTATAGAGATGCTGCCTCGAAAACCCAAGAAGGAGTCACCACCATGAGTCAGATCTGAC